GGTTGTGTGACAGTTCAATAGATGCAGCCCTTTCAAGCAGGATGGTGTTAAGTGCTGAGGCTGCTTCACCTGTTGAACATCTGCCTGTCTCAAAGTTGTTTTCAGACTCAAAGGCCCTGACAGAAGAAAAAGGCCTCAGAGAGCACAACTGGATGAATGGATATGTAACACGTATAGTGTTCTGAATGCTCAAATTATTATTGTTGATCATTCAAGTAGTGTCATCCATTTTATTTTTTACTATTATTACTATTATTTTATTTTTGTTGTTGTTGTTGTACTGCCCTTCATCTGGGCAGTTCACAACATAAAAATACAAAATGAGAACACAAAATACCGGTACATAATAGAAACAAGAACAAAAACAGAAAGAAACCAATAACACCCCCATAACACAGAGCTACAATTCCCAGTACCATTAACAAGCATCAGTTCCCAGAATGATTTGGGGAAGGTGAAATGTGCTTTAAATGTATAGCACGCACCCAACCTATGTTACAGAATGTTTGGGGACTGATTACCACAACAACCCTGTAGGCCACATCACTGCTGTTACTATAATCAAGGCAGAGAGAGGTTGTCTAGGCTGAGGCCAAATCTGAGGTAAAATTTGTGACAGAGGTAAAACTTGAACCAGGCAGAATTTCCAACCTGCCATTATGCCATTCCGTTCCTCAGAAAAGCATCGAAGCCTCTTCTTTCCAATTTTGCTGAGGGGAAGCGTGTGATTCAGCAATGTTCGGAACCTAGAGTGAGCAAATTGAGCATTTTCAAATGTACGCGCCCACAAATTACCTCAAGAACCCTTGTGAGGAGCCTGCAAATTAAGCCAGTGCTGTTAACTATAATCAAGGCACAGAGAGAGAGACCACCTAGACTGGAAGTAAATTCTGAAGTAAAAAATTTGCGACTGAGGTAAAATTCGAACCAGGCATCATTCCTAACCTGCCATTATGCTACTCCGTTCCTCAGGAAAACAGAGGCGCCTCTTCTTTCCCATTCGTATAGCAAGATTCGGTGAGGGAAAGAGTGCAATTCGGCAGAGTTCAGAACCCAGAGTGAGCAAATTGCGCATTTTAAGATACATGTGCGCGTACGCACACACCCCAGAAACCCAGCATGCATTTAAGCTGAGCTGAGCTGACGAGAGAGGTCGCCAAGAGACGAAACGCCATGTGTGGCAGCGAGGCTGTCATCTCTTTCCCAAAGTGACTTTCTCCTCTGGAAGGGGGAGCTTCTGTGTTGCCAGAACGGCCGTGGGCATGCCGTGGGGTGGTCTTGACGGTGCTGAGCGACTCTCCGGCAAATGAGCCCTGATACCTCAGCTGCGCACTCCTCCCCAGCACCATCCTTGTCAGAGCTTGTATTGTCCGGGCCTGGTCGAAAATGCCCTCTCTTGTCCTATGGTTGCGCTGACGATTCGTCCGCAGCGTTTGAACTCCTCTGACACGGCCGAAGCGCGGAAGCCGCCGTGGAGCCGCTTGGTTAAATGGCTTTCAGAAAGGGTCGGTGACACAGTGTGGAAAGGGCAGCCGTTTAAGACCATCCATTTATTTAATCTGTGCGTGGAAAACAGCAGGGAAACAGACGCTGGTGTTTGAGGCCTGTGCAAGTTGGAAAACCCTGAGGAGAAACGAGGAAATGAGTCAACGTGGGTCAAGAGGGATCACTGTGAAAAACATGTGTAGGCCAACAGCCTCTTCAGCTTTCACAGTGTCTACTCTGTGTCTACTCAGAAGTCAGTCCCGTTGAGCTCAGCAGGACTTGTTCCCAGGTAAATTGGTTATAGGGTTATTCTTTCTTTGTTACATTTGCATCCCGCCTTTCCTCCATGTAGCTCAAGGTATCGTGTGTGGTTCTCTTCCTCCCCCATTTTATCCTCACAACAACCCTGTGAGGTAGGTTAGGCCAAGGGACTGTGACTGGCCCAAGGTCACCCAGTGAGTTTCATGGCTGTGGGAGGATTTGAACCCTGGTCTCCCAAGCCCAACACTCTTGACTGTGCCACACTGGCTCTGCAGTTGCAACGCAGCCTTAGGGTAGTTGTGGATCCGATCCTGTAATTCACAGTACTATGGGCTGAATGTGAGTTCAGTCATACTCAGAATGGACCTACTGAAATAAGTAGGCTTAAACATCAACCATGACTAACTTAAACCCATTCATCACATTGGTTCTACTCTCAGTACGACTTAAGGTAAATTCCACTTATCACTTACTCCACAACCAGTGTTCTCCCACTGCTAGTTTTTGAAGCTGTGTACACATGTTAGCTACAATCCATGTTGATCCTGTCATTTTGTGACAAATACTGCTATTTGATGCAGGGTTTCCCCCCTCAAACCAGCTTCAATCCCACTAGAAAACTTAAGCTGCATTCACTTAATAGTTAAGAATGGTGTGTGCATTCAAGACCACTGACTTTATGAATACAAGTTCCAGGGGGTTGCAGGGGAGGGGAAACAGAAAAGGTCATGTGTATCAGGTAAAGACATCCCTACCGCCCTCTCTGATGTGAACAACACCAAGCAAATGCAGCTTGCAATGCAGCAGGGGGGAATGACCTTGCTGGGTTTTAAACCACTGATATAAACATACCCTTTGTCGGATTCAACCTTATATTTCTCACACAAAATCTGCCACAAAGAAAGGAAAGGAAATAGCTTGCTAGAACAAAAATGGTCAGATTGGGATAAACATATTAGCAGCCATTTTAAAACTCTCGCAAATGCCTCAATTCCACACAGGAGCACATATTTGTTTATTCATGCTAATCCACAGTTTGCCTTGCTGTAATGTGTGAGCCAAGTCCAATTAAGGTCTATCCAGAATAGAATCGTTGAAATTAATGGGCCTATGTTAAGTCCTGTCTCTTAACTTCAGTGGATCTACTCTGAGTAGCTCTATCATTGGTTACAACCCCTTTGGCTGCATAGTAAATCCCCACCTCTGCACAAACAAAATAGAAACCTGGGAATTGTAGTTTGCCCACTCACAGAGCTATAACTCCCAGTGTCTTTAACAACCTACGGTTCTCAAGTTTCTTTGAGGGCAGAGGATGTGCTTTAAAAGTAACATGTGCATGGCACCAAAGGTCATAAGGACAGAGTTGTGGTACTTGCCACAGATGATAGAAAAAATCAAAATAAGCACCCAGATCATTTTTGAAACCACTTTCTACACTGCATTCGTAGATATCAGGGAAGGTTCTAAGGGTAAGGAGAATAGCATTTCCTGAGGCTAAAAACATCGCACAGTTTCTTTTGGAACTTTGGGAAATGGGCTAGATTTCCAAAAGGTGTGTAGCCTTGGAGGAAAGACATGAAGACTGAGCAGCAATGAGGAGCAAATGCACATTTGCAGTGTGCCATAAAACTGATTATGCAGGAAGACAGACCCTGTGTTGTGAGCCATCCTCAGATCCAGAAGGAAAGTCATTTCCCTTCCTAGTTTATAGACTGTGCTCGTTTGATTGCTTGGAAAGGATACCAGGGAAAACAGTCCTTGTAATTAGCTAATGAGGGAAAGACAGTGAGGAGCAGCTTTGAAGCGCCCGAGCATGATAAAGGTCAAGAAGTTTGACGAGTGTATTGACGTCACTTCCAGCATTTGCTTTTCTTTCTTGGCCTGCTGTCAATTCATTCTGTAGAGACATTGGGACGTGGTGCCTGCTCTAAAATAATAATCTGCCTGGCCTATGCAGAAAATATCACTGGCATTCATTAAGTAGCAACAGCTCCAGGTGCCCTCCTATCTCCCCCCTCTTTGTTAAAAAAAAAAACTTGCTTTCCTTATCCGATCATCCCAACAGCAGCCCCCTCCTCCAACCTTCTCAGCAGTCAGATTACAGCAACTGCTTTCAGATGCAAGTAGCTGCAATAAAAGCTCTGGCAGGGGAAATTTGCCTCTGAGGCGCAGAAGGCAAAATCCAATCCCATGCAAATCTGATTATCTTTTACTGCCATAGACACCTACCTAGTCTACTCGTGGGAAAGTTAAAAAATAAAAAAGAGAAAGAAACCGATCATGGGAAGAGATTAACAAAGACCAGGCATGCAAATTTTGGAAATGGTATGTGGTGAATCTGAAATCTAAGAATGCATCTGCAGGTAGACTTTCCCAGCTGTTGATTACGCTGATCTGAATTTAGCACTTACAAGCATGGAAGATAAAGCTAATGATGACTACTAGCCATGATGGCTATCCTCTGCAGTGCCACAAATCCAACTTAACGGTGTATGTAACGCTGGAAAATGTCAATCACTTATCCTGAACCTGGGCAGCGGTCTTTCCACAAGGGTTGACGTTAATGCCGAAATCCAGCATCGCCTGAGCTCTACAAGTGCAACTTTCTCCTGATTGAAGGGCAGAGTGTTTGGAGACCTGGACATTCACAGGGAAATCAAAATGCTTGTTTACAAAGCTATTGTACTACCAACCTTACTGTACGTTTGTGAAACATGGACCAATTATAAACGCCATCTCCAACCCTTCGAAAGATTCCATCAACAGTGTCTCTGAAAAAAATTACACATCACTTGGGAAGACAGGCGAGCTAATGCCAGTGTACTGGAAGAAGCAAAGATCACCATTGTCGAAGCAATGATTCTTCAACATCAACTTCGTTCAAATTGTGGGGATGTCTGATTATCGTCTTCCAAAGCAACTACTCTATTCCAAACTTGAAAATGGAAAGTGTAATGCTGCTGGTCAACATAAGAGGTTTAAAGACTCTCTCAAGGCAAATCTTTAAAAATGTAGTATAAACAAAGACAATTGGGAAACACTGGCCTGCAAGTGCTCCAATTGGAGAACAGCCTTTACCAAAGGTGTCATGGACTTTGAAGATGCTTGAACTCGGGACGAAAGGGAGAAACGTACTGAGAGGAAGGCACACTTGGCAAACCTTCACCGTGATCAGCTCCCGTCTGGAAACCTATGTCCCTATTGTGGAAGGACGTATGGATCCAGAATTGGCCTCCACAGTTGCTTACGGACTCACTGTTAAGACTGTGTTCATGGAAGACAATTTTACTCTGCTATGAGTGATCGCCAAAGAAGAAGAAAATAAGAAGCTTTTTCGCCGCACACAGCCTCCTAAGGAGAAAACATTGTGGGCAGTGCCTGGCAGCAGGTTGGTAAATTATGTCTCAAGGGGTGTGAACCATGCAAGGTCACGTCATCATGGTTGCGGCAGTTGTCAATTGGTGCCTTCCTAGCCGGGCAAATGTGCCTCATCAACGTGCATCACTGTGGTTGGTAGGTAATGGCAGAATTTTGAAAGGTGCTATGGGAGTGGCTGTCGGTGCTGCTATGTCTCAACAGCTGTTGCTGTCTGCATTTGGATTACAACTCTATTACACTGGTGTAAACCCTGGTGCAGCAGAAGCCCAGAATAGCAGCAGTAATAGTTAACAGTAACCCTTCTAGTTGGTTAACTAAGGAGCAGGTTTGCTCAAGTGTGTTGCAGGTAGAAATACTGTTTGTAATGAAGTGAGAGCAGTAGTTTACTTGCTCGAATTAACAAATAAGAAAGTTTTGAGAATTTACATGCTAGATTAAAATTTATTAATTCATTGAGAAGGGGATTGTAAGAAAAACACTGGGGCCTAATTTGAATAGTAGAGTGCCTGGTATTTGGTGGGCAATTTCATCCTTTATTTCCACACTGTGGCTGCAGACCAAATCACCTGTCAGGAGAGCTATGAGATTCAGGTGAGGGTCAGATGCCTTGTCAATCCCAGCAGGTATATAACAGGAAGACCGTCCTGGCCAGGCCTGTGTCCATACATTGAAAGTGACAAACTTAGACAAACAAATTTTGATGAAGTTTTGGATTCTATGATTCTATGGCTGGCAATGGCTCTCCAGGATTTTCCAGACAAGGAAATTCCCAGCACTACCTGGGACCTCTGAGCTAAAACCTTTCCTCTGTGAAATATACTATTCTAAATATGTGAGTGTGGTACAACCATTTGCATTTACCAATAGGAATTGCACTGACATATCCGCTAATCAGTCCCCAGCATCTCCAGGTAGTGCTGGGAAATACATCTATCTGAAACCCTAGAAAGCTACTACCAGTTTGTGTAGACAATACTGAGATAGTCATAGTTCTAGATCTCTGACTTAGGCTACCATACATTTAAAGCACATGAATTTCTGCAAAGAACCAAAAGAATGGAAATTTGTGCAGGGTACTGGGAATCATAGCTTTGTGAGAAGCAAACTACAGTTCCCATGATTCTTTGGGAAAGACACACGCTTTTTTGTATGTATGCAGCCTTAGTATAGCACAGATTTCTATTTTCCTAACCACTGGAAGGCAATACTTTGCAAGTTAAAGGATGCTGGCAGAAAGCACATTTAGAAACCCAAACTTAATATTTTCATACGACTGGGCCAGAGTGGCAACTAGTTTGTCATTGCCCACAAGAACGCCACAGAACAGACCACTTGCTCTATCATTTTGTTTTTCAGAATACACCCATGCCATATATTTGAAGCACACAGATTCCCCTAAAGAATCTTGGGAACTGCTAGTTAACCGAAGTCTCTGAACATGTTATTGGAACAGCTAGTTGAACTGGGCACCACAGTTCAAGAAGGACACTGACAAACTGGAACGTGTCCAGAGGGGGGCAACCAAAATGGTCAAAGGCCTGGAAATGATGCCTTATGAGGAACGGCTAAGGGAGCTGGGCATGTTTAGCCTGGAGAAGAGGAGGTTAAGGGGTGATATGATAGCCATGTTCAAATATATAAAAGGATGTCACATAGAGGAGGCAGAAAGGTTGTTTTCTGCTGCTCCAGAGAAGCGGACACGGAGCAATGGATCCAAACTACAAGAAAGAAGATTCCACCTAAACATTAGGAAGAACTTCCTGACAGTAAGAGCTGTTCGACAGTGGAATTTGCTGCCAAGGAGTGTGGTGGAGTCTCCTTCTTTGGAGGTCTTTAAGCAGAGGCTTGACAACCATATGTCAGGAGTGCTCTGATGGTGTTTCCTGCTTGGCAGGGGGTTGGACTCGATGGCCCTTGTGGTCTCTTCCAACTCTATGATTCTATGATTCTAGTTGGGACAGGAGCTATGGTCCAGCAAAGCAGTTTCCTTAACAAATGTCAGGAACTTTATTATAATTGACATGCAAAGAAGCTGATGTTCTCACAAGTGTTCTGCCTTCTTGCCTAGTAAATACGGGTGTCACCAAGCTGATTGCATTTTTCTTGCAGAGAAAACTACCTAACAAACTACAGTTCCCATGATGCTTCTAGGGGAAGCCATGTGCTTCAAATGTGTGGTTCAGGGGTGACCTTACCCCTTCTGTTAAGTCTCTTGAACCAAGTAGAAAGCAAACACAAAGAGCTGGTGGATTTTGTTATTTCTTTCTTTCTTTCAACATCCCCACTCCACCATGCTCTTTCAGTGGTCAACATTTGATGCTTAGCCCCCGCCCCACCCGCTCTCTCTCTCTCTTTTTTAAAAAAGAAAGGAGGTATGGAAAAGTTTACTTGGCCATGGGATGAATAGATGGCAATTAAAAGAAAAGGACAATGCCTGGCCCTTGTGCAGAGGTACGAGTTTAGCTATTAAAGGCTACGGCTTAGGTCAGATTGGGACCATATGTCACCATTCCAAAGCATAGTGGTGCTTGGTATCCCTGGATCCCAAATCAGCTGGGCCCATTGTCTCTGTGCCTGGGTGAACCCCCCTCCGCACCCCCCAACATATATTCATAGCCCACACGAAGGGCCGCCTAGAAGACAGAAACAAATTGATACATACAAGCGCCCACCACCATTGGGGCTCACATGACACATTTTAAGCAGACAATAAAAGCACATTTCAGACTGTTTAAAAAATCTTGAGAAAGGATCGGTTGCCACGGCGATCAGATGGTAGGCCCCTCCGACGCGGCCCATTAAACTCCAATTGCACCTTATTCATTAGGACTGACTCTCGGACGGTAAAAGGAGGGGGAATGCAGGAAGAAAAGGACTTTTTTAAACGGGGTGGGCCTAGGGAGAATGAATCTGTGCAATAACCAGTTTGTTCATCAATTCAGGTGTTGTTTAATTTGTCCTGTTCAGGGGCTCCCTTTGTTTAAGCCCATCGCCCCATTGACTTATAATTTCCAGCACTCTATTAAGATGGGTTTCTCCAAACCCACAGGCATCACTTCATCGCTTAAAGCGGAAGGAGGGGGAAAGAATGGAATAAATCAAAGATGGGGAGATTTTCACTTTAGGAGTTGATGATGGAAAGGCTTGTAATTTCGGAGACGCCTCTTGGCTGGATGTTTGCAGCAACAAAAGAGAGAGGAGCATTTGCCTCTCCTTAGGCGTGTCAAGGGTGCAGTGCTCAGAGTGTGGGCCACGTTTCTCTCTCATATTCAACTTTGCTCTGTTTGGGGACGGTGTGCTGGTAATGTGCCCCGGAGCTTTTCAGGAGGCAGAGAGAACAGAAAAGACCTTTTGAACTTTAAAACACAAAAGGTGTTAAGTTGTTACCACCCGACCATATTTGGTGAAGTTAAAAAAAAACAAAAACTTAATGCTGCCAAAGTAATGAAAATGTTCAGATCTACAAAGGCCTGTAACTTCATGTTGTTCAATGCCCAAAGAAGGGAAGGCAAGGAAAATACCAGCCTGCATGTTTGAGGGCAGGACCAGCCCTAAACATTTTGGTGCCTGAAGTGAAAAGATCCAAAGTACACCCCATACCTAGTAACCAGAAAATCCTTAGCCCTGAAGAACTTTGCTAGTTTCACTTAAACGCACTCAAAATTCCACAGCCCCCCCCTTTTTTTTGCCTGAAGTGGCAGCCTTCCAAATAATCTTAATATTTCAAATTAGGCTATATCTAGCAAAAAAACCAACAACAAACCTATATAAGTGCAAAACTTGCTGGACCTTTTCTTCACTATTATGAAAAATAATAATTCCCCCCTTGCACTGATGATCCTCAGACTTTTCTGCCTATGGAAGAACCCTCAAAGAGGCATCTGCCATGTGAGCTGTTAAAAGTGCTGCGATTCTGTCAGGCAAAAAGGGAGCAATCGGAACCCAGCCTTTACCAATATGAATTCTGTTTTTAAGTGAGAAGGGAGCCATGTCACAAACTGCTATGTTTTGCAGTTCTCCCTCTTCCCGGGCAACTCTGGGAACTGTAGTTCTGTGAGCAAAATAGGCGGTTGGCACCCTTTACAGTTCCCACAATCCTTTGGGGGAAGCAATGACTTTTTAATTGTTATAATGGTGCTTTAAATATATGGGCCCAAGCCTACATGCAGCCCTTTCCACACCTCCTTGAGCTATCGTAACTAGTTTCGCAGCTCTCAATCCTACCCTGTGACTGGCAAGTTTGCACTCAAAGCAGAATCACGGCCATCTTGGTTCAGTAAGCCCACCAAATTAGAACGGAATAAGATGTCTACCCGTGTGTGGTGAATGGCAGCACAGCAGAGAAAATCAAGATTCCCACCAGTTCCTTAAGTCCCAATTATTCCCAGATTATCTTTTGAAATCGGGAGATCTCAGCTGAATAAACCAGTTGCCTGAATTACTGACAGCCGGGTGAATCGCTAAGGAGAGCAAAGAGGGAGCTGAGCTCCACGGGTTAAAGGTGCCAGTCCCCTTTGGTGACCTCTGGGGGCAAGGGATGCTGTGTTATTGACTGACGGGCAGATAAACAGCCGCACCGTTTGCTGTCTCCTTTGGCACGCCAGTCAGGCAAACAACAGAGGGCAAGGGCCTTCCCGAAGTTAAAGAATAACTGTTTGGAGGAGGACGGGAGACCCTGGCGGCTTCATCCTTGCTCTGGGGTCTTCAAATCAAGCGTGGGGTAAACAGCTTCAGAAAGGAAGAGAGGCAAAAGTCACCTCCGTGGTTACCGAAAGGGGTTTTGCTCTCTAGCAACGAAGGCTTCTCCCCTGCTTTTGCCCCAGACTCTATTAAACGGCTTTCCCTATCTATCTATCTATCTATCTATCTATCTATCTATCATCTATCTATCTGTCTATCATCTATCTATCCATCCATCCATCCATCCATCCATCCATCACTCACTCACTCACTCACTCCCACCCACCCACCCACCCTCATTGTGCATGGCAGCAGTAAGCAAAGAAGAGATCTCTCCTTTGAGAGGCACAGACGGTTGCTAAGAGGAGAGATAAATGCCTTTCCTGCCAGGGGACGACTTGTATCTGACCTCACCTCACTCCTAGAGGCTCAATTTCTGTGCAAAGGTTTATGCTATTCACTATCTAGGCCTGCAGAAAATTGCTCTGAACATCTGCACACCTTACATGACTGGTAGGGCTAAATTTGGCTTGGGGAGAATGGTTGCCCCATATTAGTTGGGTGGCTTCTCCCCTGACCCTGCCCTTTGCCCCCTTGCACTTGAAAAACAGACATGGAGAAGAAAGTCTCTGAGAATGCACAGTGTTTCTTTCACCCTTCTCCCTCAGCTTCCCATTGCGAATGAATAACCTGCGCCTCAAGACACATAACTAAAATCTGAAGATTGGGCCTCAGAGCTAAACAGCACTCAGCTCTGGAGCCTTCCATTTTACACACCAAGCTACACCTGTTTTTGGCTGTAGCATCCCAGGTAGTTGACTGAAAACTGACCCTTGCGGGCTCCCTTGAACTTGCAGACAGATCTGCCTTTTTCAGTCTGAGCCATTCAGTTAACAGTGGCTTCAGGTATCCCTGTTGCATCTCCTTCACACCCAGTGGATAGTAAAGACAGGTGTAACCGTGCTATTTTGCTGAATGGTCACCACTGTTCCTGTTACTAACTGCATTCGACAGAGCTCAAGAGGACATCATCATCATCATTATTTCATTGCTTTTTACACGAAAGTGCTTCAAGGCAACTTATAATGTAAGAACAAGAAACATTAAAACCAAATGTAAGGACCACAATAAAACAAGAACCTAAAATACCTACGGTATATATAATTTTATATAAAAAAGGACAGATTCAACCCACACCACTAAAAGAATGAACAATAAAAAGAGGCCATGGACATTATCCCCCAAATTAAAAGCCAAAGCCTGAGTAAATAAAAATGTTTTTGGTTGGTGCCTAAAAACAGACAATAATTGCTCCAGGCGTGACTCCCTGGGGAGAGGTTTCCATAAAAGCACAACTGAAAAAGCCCTCAGAATAGGGGTGCATGGAGAAAAGGACCTCAGATGACAAACACAGGGTCTAGCTTGGCTCATGCCTAGATTTCTTCCCATGTTATCCTCACAGTCCTATAAGGTAGGTTTGGCTGATAGATAGCCTGGCCCAAGTTATCCTAGTCAGCTCTAGGGTGAGTAGGGATTTCAGCCAATGTCTCCCCAGTACAAGGCTACTCTATCTGCTATACCACAATGTCCAATGGCCATTTAACCTCAAAGTCCCACTAATCAAGTGTGATGTCTATGGTATGCATCCAGTGTACATTATTTTCAGTGTACATTATTTTAGTTACTTCACTTTTGAAAACAAATAGCAGTTTATCAGAAAGTTTGTGTCTGAAAATGCAATGGTGTTGTTAAGGAGTGGGGATGGGGAGAAAAGAGGAGAGTTAAATTATAAATAAAGCTGGGGGGGGAGTTTTTGCACTGCAATGAGACTATTGATTTCATTGTGAGCATAGGAACAAGAGAAGGTCCAAAATCAAAGCATTCCGTGGTTATTTTTCTATCAAAAAGTAATGTTGGGTGAATAACCTATTTACATGCCAATGTGCATTGCTGAACTGACCCAGGATGGGGGTGGGGTGGGGGGAACATACAAGCCTTCTATTATCCGCAATCAATAATTGCTAGAGTTCCTGGGAGTCACCCTACTAAGAAGACGTTAACGAGGTGCTCCGTTGCGTGAGGAGAGACAGCGAACAAGGTTTTAATTGGCAATAGATTATATTTATCAAACTGACAGCAAAGAGGGGTCGAGGGGCAGTCCTCTTGGTCACTGTGTGGGTGGGTGGGGGGAGTAAGGATTTAAAGGTTGGAGAGGAGGAGGGTGATGGAGGGGAGCAAGACCCTTCCCATAATCTCACATCATTCTGAATTATTCATTAGAGTCCTTCAAGAGGGTGGATAAATCAAGGGTGAAACAAAGAATGCAAGATGCTATTGTGCTATCACTTGAAGCCAACTAAGACCCAAGCCAAGTGATGATGAAGGGGGACAGCTAAGGGGAAGGCGAGCAGGAAAGAGAAGAAGAGAGCGCCATTTGAGGTCATTTAGCAAGATGGAGTGTTTAAGAGATGAAACTGGATATTTTGGTTAACCTTAGCTCATTTTAAAGGTCACCTACTGGGTAAAGTTAAACCATATAATCTGGGGGGGGGCAGAATAATAATAATAAATTATTATTATTATTATTATTATTATTATTATTATTATTATTATATACCGCCCTACACCCACAGGTCTCTGGGTGGTTCACAAGATAAAATCACAATATAAAAACACAGAATACATAATCAAAATAAAAACAGAAACAACCGAATTAACCACCACACCAAATTTTTAAAAAAACCAACCCACATTTTAAAAGGGCATTGGATGACAATCAACCAAAGGCTTGGTTAAAGAGGAATGTTTTTGCCTGGCACCTAAAGCTGTATATTGAAGGAGCCAGGCAAGCCTGCCAGGGGAGAGCATTCCACAAGTGGGGAGCCACTGAAAAAAAGGCCAATTCTCGTGTTGCCCTCCTCCGGACCTCTCATGGAGGACGCACATGAAGATGGGTCTCAAAAGCTGATCTTAGGATCTGGGTAGGTTCAAATGGAATGAGGTGCTCCTTGCAGTATTGCGGTCTGGAGCCATTTATTATTTGCTACATGTACACCACGCCACATGGATCTCCTCTTTGGGCTTGGGAGACCTGAATTCAAATCCTCACTGAACTCAGCCAGTCACAAATCTCACTGGGGAGGCCCTGGGCGATTTACTATTTCTCAGTCTAGCCTGCTTCACAGGGCTAGAGCAAGGGCAGAATGAGACAACCATCTGCATTTCTTCCTGATGCTAAAGAAAATAGAATGCTTATTTGGCAGACAGAATGCCACATCTCCATCTATTCACAAAGCGAAATAAGGACACTTGTGTATTTGTAATACCTTTTATCATTCCAGTCATCACTGCTAGAGCCTCTCTGCCCTTCTTTGAATGCTGACCTGTTAAGACATCCTCCCCCGCCCCATTTTCAAAAATGTATTCATCACAGCCCTAAATTACTTAAATCAAACAAAATGTATGAACTTGGGTCAAACCATTCCAAAGAACAATACAGTCTTAATGTAAATAAAAGAGGGAAATTAATAACATTGTGTTTAAAAATTCAACAAAAAAACTCACCAATATACACATTTTGCTGCAGACTTCTTCTTCTTTGGTAATCACTTGTAGCCAAGTAAGATTGCCTTCCATCAACATGGTCTAAGAGTGAGTCAGTACACAACTGTGGAAGCCAATTCTGGATCCACACGTCCTTCCACAATAGGGACATAGGTTTCCAGGCGGGAGTTGATCATGGTGTGGATTTGCCAAGTGTGCCTTCCTCTTAGCATGTTTCTCCCTTGCATTCTGAGTTCGAGTGTCTTCAAAGTCCATGACACCTTTGGTAAAGGTTGTTCTCCAACTGGAATGCTTGCAGGCCAGTGTTTCCCAGTTGTCGGTGTTGATACTACATTTTTTAAGATTTGCCTTGAGAGAGTCTTTAAACATCTTTTGCTGACCACCAGCATTACACAGAACCACAGTACTGAGTACAAGAAAAAGCCTATAAAACAATGCAAAGTCAAGTTCAGCAATAACCAATGCTGATTCAATTACTGAAAAAGTCTTTCAGCTCTGTTAAATGCCTACTGGATACCAAAGGATGCATTCTTAAGGTTACTAAATGGAGCTTCTTACAAAGCACCTTTCATGCTTATTCCTAGACATTACTTTTATTGTGAATTCATAATTATCTGTGCTGGTGATGGTATTTGGGGTGGTTATACATCATCCCTCTTTCAACACTGTTTGTCCTTGCAAAGGTTTGGGGGCAGACATACTGCTTCGTTTGCAACCAGCAGTGCATGTCCCTCATAATTTATGCCTGAAACTTTCCATACCACAGATGATCCAGGGTGGTTGTTCTTTGTCCCAACTTTTGTTGCATTCTAGTGCAAGAGTGCCCCTCCAACTGGTAACAATGCGCTAAGATTGGGGAACCATCGCAGAACAACTCATAAAGCAGAATGATGAGAGGATGTTTATAGAAATCCACCACTAATGCACTGTTTTTTAGCAAGGTGTCTTCCATCTGTGAGGAGAGTAAGACCTCCTCTGTGGCATCCTTGCTATGGAACAACCTTCCCAGAAAAACTTGCCAACCACCTTTCTCCAGAGTGCCTCCTTCTGTGTGCACATTCTACTTCTGCTTCCACTAAGCAGGTTGTGTAGGGTTTGATCTCATTTCCAAAAAGCCAAATGAATAAACCTGTTTGACCAACTGTGGGGATGGAAATTAATGTGTCACATACCTCCTGGGAAGTAGCTTTTTCCAACCGCTTTCCACTTGCTTTAAAAAAAGCAAAAACAAAACTATTGTCTGTCTCCAGCTTTGAGATCTGCCTTCTTTTATTCTTCTTCCTTTCCCTGCCTGAGCTGAGAAAAGAAAGGGCGGGGGGGAATAATCTAATGAAATATTTAAGATTTTGGTGGGCAAGAGAGTCTCGAGAAGGTATTGTTTGCTCCCGTCTTTTGTGAGGAAGATGGGAGATGGCTGTAAGCAGGTTGCCAGGGGCCGCACCATATTGATGGGAACGGAGTTGGCATTGGCTACAGCTGTGGTATCTCGATTCCCAGCTGAGACACCAGCCTGGAAGCCTTTGTCCAGCTTTGTGAAGAGGACACGGAGGGGCCAAATTTACACAGACTTGATTGCAATTGCTACTAGGCTTTCTTTCTCCCCCTTGCTTTGTCTCCTGTTAGAAAATGGGAGAAGAGAGAGGGCACACGGGGGAGGGGGGGTTGACAATAAATGATGAATTTCATCACTGCTGGGCCACATAATAAACTCAAACACAGGAGAAACCCCCAGCTTTTCCCCTTCCCTCTCTTAAAGACATCTCCCACTGCTTTGCCTTCTTGGAACCTGATTTTTTCCCACTAACTGCTGCCTGATTTATAGTCGCTCCCTTAGAGGGAGCATATGTGGCAGAAGCCGTTTAGCAAGGGGCTGACATTTCGCTTAAGCAACTGTGAAAGGGCAAATTTTCCCTGAAACAGAGCTGCAGAAGAATTATGCTCAGTGGCTTCATTTTGCTCCTCCAGTTCTTCTTGTGGCCACCAGCAGTCCTCACTGCACACACACACTACATAACATTGAATCACATCCTTGGACTCTATCCATTACTGAATCCACAGTAGCATTCCTCGGTTCTGTTCCCATCAGATCACATCCACAGCATACGTTTAAAGCACCTTTATGCCACTTTAACAGTCATGGCTCACCCCCTCCACAGCCAAGATTTCTGGGAGTCACAGTTTAGCCCTCACAGAGCTACAACTCCCAGCACCCTTAGCAAGCTACAGTTCCCAGGATTCTTTGGGCGAAGCGATGCACTTTAAATGCGTGTTAAATGTGATGTATGGTGCAGAAGTGGTCAAAGCACCGATGAATTTAACAGTGTGGGGTTCAGACTTGGGATGTGCGCGGTTGGGCACAATGCCATCTGTGGATCCAATTCCATGCCACTTATCAACACTGTCCATGAATTTGTCATCTCACTCTAGGCGGGGGGGGGGGCAGGATGGGGGTAGGGGATCTTCCCACTCCGATCAGTGCCAGATTTCGGGTAGTGCGGGCAGTTCCCTTGCACGGGGCACCAAGGGAGCACACAACAACAACAACAACAACAACAACAACAACAACGACAAATCTACTCAATATTTGAAGGGGCGAAAATTTTGTTCTCACTCAGGGTGCAATGTTACTAAGTCCGCCCCTGCTTCCAGCTGAGCATCAAATTTATTTGGGAAGAAACTGGTTGTGTGATGCCAAAATGCACATTAAAATCAGTGTGGTTAGAGGGTTGGACACCTGTGTACTCTCTCACCCTCCTCACCCCACCTTGCAGTCCCCTTGACCCACAGCTTGTTGTGGGGATTAAATCAGGGTGAGAACCATTTGAGCTCCTTGGAGAAAAAGGATGGGATATAAATGCAATAAATAAATCTCTCTCACACCCACAAACACACCCACACACCCCACACATTCACAAACTCCTAGATGAAGATGACTGCCAGACTGGACTAGTCTGATGTGAAGGCCAGAGCTTCTCCTCCAGCCCAATCTGCACCACTGCCCAGTACAAATAGGACATGGCGCATGGAGCCTGCAGTTGCTGCTACTCCTTGCTTTTGTCACTGCCCCATGGTGGAGGCAGTTCCATTAGGGAGAACAGGGCACTGCCCCACCAACTTCACTCTGCCCTTTTTACAACCAGTCCACGGGATGGCAGCTTCTTCCATTTCAGTGTTGTCCTTGTAGAACTGTGCAGCAAAGAGGAGGAGGGTGGGGACAAAAGTAGAATGGGTTGACTCTGCCTCTCATTGGCTCTGGCTGTGCCTGTCATTGTCTCTGGCTCCACCTTCTGTTTGGCCTCCCTGCCTTACGTTCCGCCAGTCCCAGTGGGCAGCAGCCATCAGTGCTGCCCTCCTGTGTAGATTTTGTCAGTGAACAGGCAAGAAGTTATAACTGTGGAATTCACTGCCAAAAGATGTAATGATGGCCACCAATGTGGATGGCTTTTAAAGGAGTTTTGGCTTGGACATACCAAGGGGCAGGGGTCCTGTGCTGACAACGCCCAAGAGAGTCTGCAGGGAAGGAGGCAGTCTTTGAGATATTGGGGGGGGGTGCCTTATGTTAATTAGCACTTTAAACACAAATGCAGGACTTCTCAGACTGGTCCATGGACTACCAGTGGCCTGCAAGTTTCGTTCAGGTGGCCCATGGCCCATCTGCAGCAAACCTGTTTATTTTCCATTGCGTTTTTATTGCTGCTTTTATCTCTTCTATTGTACTTTATTCCACTGCAATTTGAATGCTATGGAATGGCAAATTGCATTTCAAATAAAACACAACATATTAAGAAACGGAAGAAGCAATAGCAATTCAGTTAAAAGCCAATGCAGCTTCTAAGAGCACAGAAGATTACAGTTGCTGCAAAACCAGTATATGGTCCACCAAGACCATTAGCAATTTTCAAGTGGTCCACATGGGGTGGACAAGTTTCGGAACCACAGAAAAAGTGAATTGTGCCTCAGTCTTCCAAGCCAGTCTTTCAAAAGATGCACGCAAGGGAGTTACTGCTTCAGTACATCCTCCCATGTCTTCCTCTCTGCCACACACTCCCAAGCAGTGAATTCCACTCTTTTAACAGGCTTCCTCAGGTCCCTTAACAGGGAGCTGGAGCAACTTATGAAGATTACATCCTTCTCAAGAGGCCTGTTATTTCTTCATTTAAGTGGGTGGGCATGACGGTAGTTTTTCGGTTTTTGTTTTGTTTTGTTTGGAGGAGGGAGGGAGGGAGGAGAAGAAAAGAGTAATGTGATTGAATGTGCGTGTGTTGCTTCATTAGAAGGCTGGTGGGGTCCCCCATCCCCACCCCCTTCCCCTGCCTCGTGACATGGAAGGCTGGCACGCAAAGCTGCGTAGTTAGTTGTTATTAATGACCCTGGCTCTGGTTTGGTCCTCAAGGGACAATCTGACTTTAATAAGCCACAGCTGGAGGGTGGTTTCCGGGCCTGCCGCTGAGGAGGGAGAGAAAACATTTCAGGCACAGGGGAGACTCAAGCAGAGCAGGGCTGTAGGAAGAAGCTGTGTGGATGGGGACCACACTGCTGTGTTGACAAGCTTGTGTCTCAAGGTGTGTGTTTTTATTGTACAATTGGACAAAAAAAGGGGGAGAATTGGGGGGGAAACCAAGTGTGCTGTTGGAAAGCTGATAATGTGCAGTTCAAAAGTGTGTGGCGAAGGGAGGGAAGATTAGCATGGTATCCAACTAAGTTTTACTTAGCATAGACCCATTGACATTAATAGACCTAGGTTTGGCCATATTTGCACTATGTATTTATAGGCAGGATCATATCACATTAAACAGTCACGACTCCCCCCCCCCCGCCACGAAGCATGGTTTGTTAAGTGTGGTGAGGGTTGTTAGGAGACCCACCTTTCCCCCTCACAGAGATATAGTTCTCAGAGTGGTTTAACAGTCATCCCCTCTTCCCAGGAAACTCTGGGAATTACAGTTCTGTGAAAGGAACAGGGTTTTCCTAGCAGCTCTCAGCACTCTCAGCATCCCATGATGAAAAGTCCAGCATCCTGTTCTCACAGTAGCCAACCAGATACCGCAAAGGGAAGTCCACAAGCAGGGTCTGAGCACAACAGCGCTCTTCTCTCCTGTGGCTTCCAGAAATTGGTATTTAGAGCCATACATTTTAAACACATTTAAATCACACCCACCCTCAAAAGCATGATGGGAACTATAGTTTGTTAAGGGTGCTGAGAACTGTCGCCCTGTGAGGGGTAAACTATGGTTCCCATAATTCTTTAAGGGGCAGGTGTGCTTTAAATGTATGGTGTTTAGATAGTTGTTGTAGCAGCAGCAGCAGCAGCGAAGAGCAGCACCCAACTCAGGGACTGATAAAAGACTGGTTGAAATCACAGAGGGATGGGTGGTTATAGGAAGGAGAGGGACAGGAAGCCTTCTTCCTAAGGAGGGAGGGAGAGAAAAGGGAGAAATCGTTGCAAAACATTGGAGAGAAAAGAATTGGCGTCGCCCCCTCTAAATTTGGGCTCCCTAATGCATTTTTCTGCTGTCAGGTTGGGTCACCCAAACTAAGCTGTGAGCGGTGACCTTGACAAGGAACCAACTTCCACGAGCCAAGAGGAGGGAGGGAAGGAGGCCTGTGGGGAGGGAGGGAGCATGGTTAAAGAAAAGCACCTTCTTTTCAGTATGTACACAAGGAGCGGAGGTTGACACGCCGACCTCAACGCTTGGCGGCCGCCCAGCTGGTTACACGACTTGGCAAGGGAGAGCGTGAGAAAGCAGGGGGCAAGAGCTGAGTGTCATCGCAGCTGCAAAAAAAGGGAAAGGGGGGCTGGGTGGGGAACACTGTGCTGAACAGAAGAAGGGGGGGAACCACCCTAATTAGAAAAATATGCGGCCAGAGGCCTTTCCGCCGTGAAAACACAGCCACATTGACCCTCTCCTGCCAAATGTGCAATCTAAGTTATTTGAGGCTATGGAGTGTGGGATTTTGTAACTAGGCTGCAACAGGGTATGCCGAGGAAGAAAATGGACTGGGGGTCGGGGTGGAAAAAGCTCCACAGGGACCATAACTCAAAGCTGTCATTGCAAAGGGTTGGAAAGGAGAAGAAGCGACATCACTTCCTAAAAGGGACAAAACTTCATTGCAGCTTCCTAGACCCTGTTGTTGTTCTTGCTGCTGCTCCTGGTAGTTGTTTTTTGGACTCCTTTCTGCAGAGGCCCTTTGCAATCAAACAGCAATGCTTGAAAATCCTGTACTTGGGAACAACATCTGAAATGAAACCCCGAACCACCTCTACTTGAAAAAAAAAAATTGTTTAAGTGTTTGATGCATTTGTTCTCAAACCAGGTTCAATCCAACTAGCTCAGGCAGTATTCAAACTTAAGCCAGGTGTGTGTATTTGAGACAGCCTTCACGCATGTGCAGACAACAACTTAATGAACAGAGGCTTGGTGGGGTGTGATTGCAGGGGAGGGGGAACCAAAAAGATCATGCATGTTGGATGAAGACATCCCCGTCAAGCTGGATGGGACTGATGGGAGTTGGAGAGGGCCACAAGTTCCCAAGTCCAGTTTTAACCAATCAAATCTGGAGCAACCACTCATGCAGATACACAGCAGGGAGCCTCCTTTCTGGATGGTGCTTACAGCTCTCAGAAGCCCCACCTCTCCTCCCGTTTCCTTTGGCTCTCTCCGCAATCTGTCTCTGACAAAAAAGGCACATGAGCATTATTGGTGCACATGATGGTGTAGGGAATGAGGAAGCTGAAGGCCTCCAGAAGCTGGACTTCAATTCCCATCACCTCTGACTGTTGGCCAAGCTGGAGTTTGTGTCCAGCAACATCCAGAGAACCACACAGGTTCCCCATTCCCGAATTACCATCTCTAAATGCAGGGGTGGTGGGTTGGAACTAGAATACCATCAACTCCAGAGTCTAAAGTTACCTAACTGTACCACCAAATATCCTCAGGGATCTTTTATTGAGAAGCATACTGCCTCCAACGGTAGATGGCATAACTAGGGGTTGGTCAGGTTGGCCTCCACCAAGTGCGCAGGCCCAGGAGGGCACAAAACACATGGCTCTCCACTCTAGCTCGTGGTGGCTAGGAGCCCTCCCACCTACCTTGGATCACTCCTTACGCAAGCTCCCTTGGGTGCTATTAAAAGTGTGTGGAGTTCCCAGAAGGGCTCAGAGGGAAGAAAGACGAGGAAACAGGTGAGAGTTCCAGGGGAAGGAAGGAAGGAAGGAAGGAAGGAAGGAAGGAAGGAAGGAGTGAAGGGAGGGAAGCAAGGAGGAAAGCACACAAAGGTGCAAGGAATCGTGGGGGGCACTGATACAGTTCCTTGCCAAGGGTGCAAGGGAGCCTAGATATGCCTCTCACAGTGGGGGTAGAGCATATTCAACAGGGTTAGTAGCCTAGCCATCGGTAGACAATCCATGGCCCTAGAGACAAGCCTTGGAGACTTGGCAGCCCTTAAGTAGGCAAGCTGTCTTCTGGGGAATCTTGTATGCTCATAGTGATCAGAACCAGGGAGGAGCTCCTGATAGAACCTTTCCAGGGTTCTTTGAAGAAATGCTGTTTTGAATGCCACTGATTTAACTGGTACATCAGTGTGCATGCCAATAATGTCTATGTGTCTCTTCTGCTTGTGGGAGGGTGAGCCAGAATCGAGAGGCAGATTGCATAGAGCCAGGGGAAATGGGAGGAGGGCATGGGCTAGGAAAGAGGCTCTCTCTGTGTGTGTACTTTATTGACACACGACTGCAGCTCAGCTATCCCGAGCTGTGTGGGTGGCTCTGTGCGGATGCCTGCCAGGCTCCTCTTTTCCCAGACACGAAGCAGACGGCTTGTCACACAAAGAAAGTGGTCATTATGGGACTCTCTCTCTCTCTCTCTGTGTGTGTGTGTGTGTGTGTGTGTGTCCCTCGTCCCTTCTCCGTGCCAAAGCTGCAAACAGTAGAAGTTCATTTTCAAAGGAGCAGGGATGGGCCACACATCAATTCATGACCTGCCAATGCTTTTGTTTTTTAAAAAATTGGGGCCTGGGGTGAACCTGTGATGTGTGTTGGGGAATGTGGAGGGGCAAAGGGCTCTACTCTAGAGCATGGGTAGGCAAACTAAGGCCTGGGGGCCAGATCCGGCCCAATTGCCTTCTAAGTCTGGCCCACGGACGGTCCAGGAATCAGCGTGTTTCTACATGAGTAGAATGTGTGTTTTTATTTAAAATGCATCTCTGGGTTATTTGTGGGGCATAGGAATTCCCTCTAAAATATAGTCTGGCCCCCCACAAGGTCTGAGGGACAGTGGACTGCTGAAAAGGTTTGATGACCCCTGCTCTATAGAGATGAGTTTCCTGGAATGCTAATAGGGGGCAGTAATGGAGGTGGCACAAGGTGAAGTGCTTTGTGCATACATATGTGCTCATGCGCGTGCACACACAAGAGCAGCTTGCTGGATCAGGCCAATAGCCCATATAGCCCAACCTCCTGTTCTCACAATGACCAACTAGATACCTGTGTTAAGCCTGCAAGCACAGCAGCACTCTAGCAACTGGTATTCAGAAGAATCACGGTCTCCAGCGGTGGAGGCAGAACATAGCCATCAGAGATAGTAGCCATTGATAGCCTTGACTTCTGTGAATTTGTCCTATCCTCTTTTAAAGCCATCCAAGTCAGTGGCCATCCTTGCCTCTTGTGGGAGTGAGTTCCATAGTTTAATTGTGTGCTGTGTGAAGAAGCACTTGCTTTTCATCTGGCTTGAATTTTCCAGCTTTGATGGATGTCCCAAAGTTCTACAGAGAAAAGCCTTTTTCTCTCTCTATCTGCTTTTTCCATGCCATGCTTAATTTTATACTCCTCTATCCTGTCACCTCTTACTTGCCTTTTCTCCTAATAAAGAAGCCCCAAATGTTGTAACCTTTCCTCACAGGGGAGTTGCTCCATCCCCTTGATTGTTTCAGCTGCCCCTTTCTGAACCCCTCCACCCCTTGGAGAAACAGGGACTTAAACATTTAAATATTAAGGAATAATTTAAGATTTTAGAAAAAAGAGAGAAACAGAGAAGGGAGGTAAGGAAAGTGTTCCTTGCTGCACTGATGACTGCTGTATAATCTCCCCATGCCACCTCATGTACACACTAAACTAAAGGCAAATGGAGTCAAAGGGTGTATCCAAATCAGTCGTAATCAGTGTAGATCCACTGAAGATAATACGGTACATATTACTAACATAGGTCCATTAATTTCAGGGTGTCTCCTCTGAGTAGCACTTAGCTACATAAAACCCAAATAACTTTTGCATACTGATTTCCCCCTTCCAAATTTCTTTCCAGGGCCACTCCAAGGAGCAGGGAAGCTTTTTCCCCCCTTTCCTCTTTCTCTTTCTTTTTTAAAAGTTCATCTCATTTTATTTTTCTGAAGTTAAGCAGCCCTCGGAATGAATGCATTAACTGGTACTCTGGAAGCCTGACTCATTTTTATGATAGCACGAGCTTGACTTTAAAAAAATAGAAAAGAAAGAAAAAAGAGCAGGGAAGGGAGAGGGAAAGACACAAGGTTTTTATTCTCCTCTCCCATCCAGGGCCAAGTGAAATGAGAGTTATTTGATAATATTTATAGTGTCTCCAGTTGCAGATGACGGTGCTGCATTACTGAAGCGACTCACGGGATGGAGGAGCCAGAGAAGGATCATGTCTGCATAACAGGCTGAGTAGATGCTTACATAAGGCAGAGCTTTGGGCTGATTTGCTTTAGCTGTGACCAGGGGTGAGGGAAACCCACCCCCTGGGCCAACCTTGGCAACTGAACATGACAACACACCTGTCAGTCACATGGCAACATGACAACGTCATATAATTGGTGAGTTGCCCTGCCCCACCTGTCAAAATCCCTTGCATGGGGTTCCCAAACACCCCAAAGCCAGCTGGCTATCAAGGATTTGGGAACCACAACAGAAGCAGCAATGCAAATTCCGTGGTTGGTGCTTTGGGGATCACTGAGCAAAGCATTTATTTTTCCCCTCCCCACCAGTGTGTTTGTGTGTGGGGCCTACATTTAACTGGCATTGCTGTGCACAAGAGTCGGTAGAGCCTGGGGCTCAATTCTCTCTCACAACTGATGTCGGGGGGGGGGGAGGTTTCTCTCTTCCCTCCCTGCAACATAAGAATATAACCGCCTCTGAAAAGTTTGGAAACTTCAGCTGTTGCAAAAACATTCCTTGTCATCCATGTCTTTGGCTGATTAAACAATCTATGGCATTTTAAAAGTTTTTTGGGGGGGTATTGTTTTGGTTCGCGGGGCTTTCGTGTTTTTCGGTTTTATGTTGTATATTTTGAGGGGGTTTTTAGTGTGTAAACTGGCCTGTGGTCATTGGATGAAGGACAGTATATAAATTTAATAAATAAATAGTGTAAGACAAGCCAGTTGGAGCAAGCCAATGGCCCATCTAGTCCAGCTTCTTGTTCCCACAATATGCTAGCCAATCAGATGTCCATATGAAAAGCTCATGAGAAGAACCTGAACACAATAGCCCTCTGTGCACCTGCAATTCCTAGCTGCTGGCATAATGCCTCTGACAGTAGAGGTGGAACAAAGCCATTGTGGCTAGTAGCCATTGATAGCTATAGTCTTGTCCTCGCTTATTTTGTCTAATCCTCTTAAAAGAACAGTAATGTCAGTTGATAGACAGGTGGGTGTGGTTTGGGGGAAACAGTTTTTGGGCCACATTGGACACATGCACCCTTGGGGTCTAAGATTGGTCCACAGGCTAGAATATCCCCCACTCCTGGCATAAAATCTTTTGGGTACTACTTGTTACGACATTTGCGTTCTCCATCTCTGGAGATGCCAGAGAATGAACTTGGGGAACTTCTGCATGAGGGAACCTGGGAACTTCTGTATTCAGCTGTGGTTTCTTTCTAAGTGCACATCTCAGGCTTGAACAGGACACCCAGGAGCCATGGAAATTCTGCCCTGCCCTCCCACTCACTTCCAAATTTCAGTTTTGGGCTTAGTTTAGATGACCTGAGTGACCTATCCTGGAGGATGATGGGCTGTAGAGTGCAGTATTTGATATTTGGCAGTGGGTGTATACAGGCTTTGCCCAGGTTGCACACACAGTACTCTGGACAGAATTAATCTCCCTGTGAATTTCAGCTTTCTTTTCTTCTGTCTTAAAAACACAACCACCAAGTTTCTAGTCCTCAACAATGAAAATGATTTGGTTGAAAGTGTAATCCTGAGGTTCCGGCTGTGTTGACCCGTCATTATTCAGATGAGTGGAGGAACTGCACCCAGGACTCTGTCCCAGCATTGTGCTGGCAGCTGGTGCTGAACTGGGTGGGAGAATAAGATTTGCAGAAATCATAGGGCAGGACTTCAGCATCTTGCCTGTCTCTATCTGCCAGGCTCTATGCACACCATTTAAACCACACACCCCCCTCCTAACAATCCTGGGGACTGTAGTTTACCCCACACCAAGGTAAAATTCTCAGCACCCTTAACAAACTACTGTCCCCAGGGTTCTTTGAGGGAAGACACATGCTTTAAATGTATGAAGTGCACACGCTATATAGTTGCCAGTGCACTGCTGAAGGCTGGAAGGTAAACAGAAAGGCTGGCAGTTCTCATGCTCTTTGTGGGGAAAGCTGTACTGCCGCCCTTATCCCAGATGGAGACCTCACATGAACCAAATCAGCTTCCCGTTTGGTTGTGTGCGCTCCAACCCACAAAGTGAATTTCTGAGCCCAGCAAAGAGAGACACAGGCTGTGTCAACTAACTGGAAGGACAGAGGAAGGAGAAGGGAGGAAAGTGGATGGCGGGGAGGCAATACTGGCAAAAGGACACAAAGATACTTCGTTTAAGGGAAACCTCCGACTGGATTGAGGCTAAGGCAGCATATGCATTACAGTTTACTCCCACTGCTGGTGTCTGAGGCTGAGTACTCACAATGTTAGCATTTCTTGAGAAATGCTGTTGCTCAATGTGTTTTGTCCCAAACCAACTTCACTCAGTTCGAAAAAGCAAGCCATGGTTAAACTAGGGTGTGTGCATTTGAGACATTGGTTGTGAATGCACAGATGCAAGCACATGCGCATATGATGGCTTCATTGAATAGGAATTTGGGCAGGGGATGCAGGTGAAGGGAAACTAAACAGGTAATGCACATCGAGTGAAGACGTCCCCCCACCCGTGTGCACAGGAATGCAAAAATGTGACTCAAATGGCCTTGCTCAGCTACTAATGTGTATATCGCATAAGGATACTTGCATAGGACACACTCCCATTTACTTTCCATCCAGTGCACCCCCACCATTGGTTTAGGAAGCCATGTACACACGGCATTATTTGTTTAATTTATATTCCACCCTTCCTCCCCAGGGAGCGCGGGGCAGCAAACAGATAACACAATTTAAAAACAAAAACAGTCTAAAACACAATTACAAACATCCCAAAGCAGAAGGTTCCAGGTTCAATCTCAAATGGTATCTCCGGGTAGGGTTGTGAAGTATCACCTGCCTGGGAAACCCTGCAGAACTGTTGACAGCCAGGGTTTTCTGCGGGTTGATGTTTGTTCCGATTCAGCAACAAGCAGCGTTTTTCCTGGGGAAAGCGTTGCTATGTGTGTGCATGGGGCCGGGGTGGGGGACACCTCTCGACCCTGTGACTTGAAATCAGGGACCAACAGAAGTGTGGATGGGACTTCAGTGTGTAGACAACACAGAACCTGATAGTTCGACTCCAGAAGGCGGCTTCCTGTTTTCCTAGAATCCGCTCGCCCCGTGCACGCACAGCGCTCCTGCGTCCTGGGCGACGCAATTGCTGTGCGCTGGCCGTGTTGTGAGGTTGGTTGGTTGGGTGTGTGTTTGCTTGCGCGCGCGCGCTTCTCTAAACCGGGCGGCTGGGCGAGCGCACCGCACGGCAACCCTCCCCTCGCGCGCCCTCTTTGGGAGCCGAGGCCTTCTTGGGGATGGGAACGAAACAAAAGGAGGCACACGTGAGGCTCCTCCTCCTCCTCCTCCTCCTCCTTTCCCCTGTGCTGCGCTCGCTCTCTCAGTCACGCGGCCGGCTTGCTTTTGCCCTCCTGCTCCTCCCTCTTTCCTAGCTGCGCTCTCCTTCGCTCAGTCGCGTGGCCCTGGCTCAGCCCTCGGTGGCGCGTGCGGGCCGTGCGCTCTCCCTTTCGCCCTCCTCGCCCCCACCACCTCAGTCCTCGAGACCCGCAGCTGGTTATGTGCGCGTGGCAGATCCAAGGCAGGGCCCAGTTTTCCATGCATAGGCTGTAATTTAAAGAAGAAAAGTGGGGGAGGGGGAAAGCATTTGAGAGGCGGCGCGGTGTAGTGGTTGTACTCGAGGATTGGAACGAGGCCATGGGTGCAAGATCCCCACGTAACCACGAAGTGTGGCTTTCGGCTAGTTTTTGTCTGTCAGGCTAGCCCACCTCGTAAGGGTGTTGTGAGGATAAAATTAGGAGGGGGAGAAGAATTTGCCTTGAGCATCTCCTAGAGAAAAGATGGGATTTGGCTGTAAAGAAAAAGACTATGTAGATGGAATGTCCCTTCTCCACACATGAATTTGTAGAGCTGTACATAGATGCTAGGAAAGGATATACTTTATTAGCTTCATCCTTCTGTTCTCAGTTAGGAAGAGGGAGAAGGTTTCTCCAAAAGCACTGCCTCTTAAGTTACAACTTATTTATTTGCAATATTGTCAGTTAAAAAAAAAAAAAAAGCAAGTGTGTCTTCTAACAATGCACATCAGGGAAAACATTTAGTGAGGAAGGCACCCAAGTGGCAAAGCACATTTCTGAGGGTGGGTGGTTAAGGAAACAGAAAATGTGTTTACCTATGGAGGGTACATCTATCGGGGAGAGTGACTTGTTGGTGGGGTTGATTGCCCTCCTCACTCCCCTCCTCCACTTACTACTATCAAGCACAAAGTGTTGGCATTGGATTCCATCTAACACTCAGCTCCCAAGTTGCAGATGGTAACAAAGAGACATATTTTAGACCAAGAGCCCATCTCATCCAACATCTTGTTTTCCACAAGTTGCCAGTCAGATGCTTTTGGGAAGCCTACAAACCGTATTATGAAGGCAACAGACCTATGAACATAAGAAGTGACCCAACACTAACTGGCAGTGGCACTCGAGAGTTCCAGGGAGGGAGTTCAGTTCCTACCTGGAGATGCAGGGGCTGGGGGGTTGAACTTGGACCTTCTGCATGCTCTAATTACTGTGCTACCGCCCTTCCCTCCCTAATTCAGCATAACTTGCTCTGCTGATCATGAGAAGGAACAAGGAACTATATAGAACAGAGCATGTGATACTGCCTTTTAATAAGACCGTATGCCTACCCAGCCCAGTGCTCTCTATTTTGTCTGGCAGTGAAAGGTCCCAGTCAGGCCCAGAGCTCCCTACAAAAGACCTTAGGAAATGGTCTTATGGACCACCTAGCTCACTGGCAATAACTCTTCCTTTTGCCACCACTTTGTCTAATGGTGGGGCCGGGATAGTTCCCAGCGCACCAACTGTTGTCCCATCATAGGAAGCTGCCTTCTACTGACTCAGACCATTGGTACATCCAGCTCAGCTTTTTCTACACGGACTGGCAGTGGCTCTCCACGGTTTTGGGCAGGGGGCACTCCCAGCTTTATTTGGAGATATGAGGGATTGAACCTGGGGCCTTCTGCAGGCAAAGCAGGTGATCTAACTACTGAACTATGGTTCACTCCAAATGCCAAGGATTGAATTTAGCATGTAGCCATATAACAGTTGAAAGACCCAATGGTGTGACTCAGTATGAGGCTTCGTCATAATGCCATTCTCCCCCACACCTTTTGCTTCTCACTCTATTTTGTGGGGCAAGGGCATTCGTGGCTTGTTTGCCACCTATGCAGTATGCAGTTAAGTGCACATGTCATCAAGGTTTCTGTTTTTAAGGATAGCAAAGAGAAGTGCACCTACTGTTGCCACTGGCTTTATTTGGATTTTATGTATATTTTAATTATCTGATTTTACATAGGGTTTTTTTTCAACACGTTAGTGTTGGAGTGTTATTCTGTAAGACCGCTTTGGGTTTCCTTGGATGAGAAGAGTGGTCTATGAATGATTGCAACCAGTGATAAGAAATAAATATTATCTTGCACTTAACTCTGCGTCCAGCCATCCATTTCACGGGCACAGGATAGGATTAGCAATATTAGGGAACGAGTGCCCCCTTTCCTCCTTTTCTTTGTAACAACCCCACTGTCTGAAAAAGCCCAGTAAAAAAAAAAAAGAAATCTAAATTCTGGAATCTTTCCAGTTTTGACTCACTGGAGGTCAAACATCTCATCGCAGGGAAAACAGCTACAGGAAGCTGGTGGGGAGAAGGAAGGCAGGCACAGGAGTGGGGGGGGGGGCGGGCGGGGGAGCTGTCAGGAGGCCTCTGAAGCTTTTACGTTCCCAGAACTCAGCAGGCCTGCAGCTTTCTACCCTGTTAATCCTTTCCAAGTTCCGTCCTTGCTGTAAGGCATGCGTTGTTACGAAATCTGCAAAGACCAGGTCTGCCTGCCAAAAAAGGAGAACTAGTCTGTTGTGTCCACCAACAGTTCAAAATGCTCTCACAACTCCAAAAAGGCACAGGCTGCGATTTTATTTAAAACAAAAACAAAAAAACTTGAAATTGTTTCAAACCAACAAACAAGCCACCAAACTCCTTTTGGGATGACATCCGCTTGACAAAATAATTAAGCTGATATATTTTATACATGACAAAATAATTAAGCTGGTCTGCTTTAGTTTAGGCTGGTTTGGGAAGCAATATCTTTTTTAAAAATAAAAAACTATAACTCTGCATAGGCTAGCTGCAGATGGATTTTTAAAAACCCTTTGCACATGCTCGTATGTACTTTTGTCTTTGTTACATCATACAAGTTAATTATACCCTTGGCACTCCCCCCCCCCTCAACAAAAACAAACAAAGCAAAGAGTTTTTGTGAGCCCCGGGCGCAATGAATTATAATTATAAACTCCAGAAAATGAGAGCCAAATTATAATTATCCAAGTGTGGGATGGGAGTGCATACCTACAGAGATTCAGCAAAGAGCATGTTCAGTGGTGGGATTCTGTCCGGCAGCGACTTGAAGTCACATTATGTCACTTTTTGTGAAAAAAGCAGCTAATAATTAAATATAGTAATGATAATAAAATGTGCTTCAAAGCATGTCCATTTTTGTGACCACTGTGTAGCCTATCCCACAGCATCTGGGATTTTAGGGTATAGGTATTCAAGTCAGGAAGTGCAGAATTGACCTCTAGCATGTTTCTCTTTATTTATTACATTCCTGTCCCACCTTCCCTCCAAGGAGCTCAAGGCGGTGTTCTCCTCCCTCTTTTATCCTCACCACAACCCTGTGAGGTAGTTTAGGCTGAGAGGCAATGATGGTGTCGGACTAGGGACTCAGGCTAGACTGGTAAAGAAAAAGAGATTTACGGCATATGCAATATAACATTGTGCCACCAGATGGCGATGTGGAGTCCTATTTTTCCCTACCTGTTTTCCCTGTTTAAATTTACAACGCTTTAAGCTCTGAAACGCTTCTTTGATGTGTCTAGATCCAGCCTAGGACCTCGGAGAGACTAAAAATCTAATCCCTACTCGTCCCTGAAGCTCACTGGAGTGACCATGGGCCAGCCACTACCTCTCAACCTAACCTACCTTGCAAGGTTGTGGGGAGTAAATGAAGAGGAGGGAGAACAATGGATGCCACCTCAAGCTCTGTAAAAAAGAAAAGGTGGGATATAAACGGCAATAAATAAACAATCGCTACACCACAGTGGCACTCTCAAACGCTCAATTTTTTTTGGCAGTGCACACATTTAAAAAGAATTGTGACGGTGACGCCCAGCTGCTGCGATCACACTGCTTTTCCCTTGCCACAAGCCCACCATAAACTCCAAGTGAGACCAGGCAATCGCTTCTAGCCGGATTCACTGTGTAGGCGGGAGGCCCTGGCACTTGAGGGAATGCAACACAAAACTCCCCCAGCATTGGCATTTTTCCTCCCTAATCCTGAGCCAGCAGGACCGATGCTAAACTCTTCCCAGCTGGACCTTGCCGTTACACGCATAATCATCCCCCCCCACTCCCCGCACAATTCTCTCCCTGCTCGACCTAGTTAATGCATCTGTGGGCCAGACGCCCCTGTGCAGACTTGGAAAGCGAACAGAAACCTCCCCACTTGCTCCAGGCAGAGGCATGGACGTCTTGGCAGCTCCGGAGACCGTGTGCGTCAAAGGGAGCCTTTAAGTCATGTGGGATTTCTAAAGGCTCTTGTGGAAGGGCTTGGCCCTTCGTCAATCAGGGGAACCGCTGAGGGAGAAGGACAGTGAGGGGGGTGCCTTTCACCTCCCTTCCAGCAGTGCGCGCACACACACACACACACACCAAGGTCACATCCACACTATATGTTTAAAACGCATTTCACACATTTATTCAGCTGGTTCATTTCATGGAGATCTTCCCATTTCCAAGGATAATCTGGACATAATTGGGATTTAAGGAACTGGTGGGAATAGAATTCCAGATGCAGGGTGTGGGGCTGTGGTTACCCCACTCTGTGAGGACAAAACACGCTACACATGCTCTGGGGTGCCCTTGTGTTTCTTACCCCTCCTTTCACCATAAGGTCCCAGGGAAATGTAAGAGCAATTTATAATTTAACATCTTAAAGACAAGGGTATCCCAGAGCATGTGCAGAGCGTTGGCTCCTTTCACAGCAAGGAACCACATGCACTCTACCGTCCACACACACTTCTGAAACTAGAAGAAGAGCAGTACTTCTTGGGCATAAGATACCCTGGCATATCCTTCTTTAAAAATAAAGAACCCCAAACAAACCTCTCTGCCCTCAGGGTTCTTCGGCACCAATAAAGCAAGCTTTGGAGCACTTGAATTCGGAAGGAAAGAACGATCTCCCAAGAGATAAAAACATTAAGCCTCCCCACCCCCAGCCCCAATTTCCTGGTGCACATTTCTTTCATGCAGTGTGCTTGTGCCTTTTAACTGTTTAAAATGTAGGCATTCGGCAGGAACAGCCCTTCCTCCATTAATGTATTACTGGGCTAAGGAAAAGATTCCCCTATGGAGGATTCCTGCCTGCCGTGCTGCTGTTAAGGGTTGGGGGGTGGGGTGGAAATTACATTGGTAAATTGGCAATTCTACCCAGAAGTATCCATAAGCAACATGTGACCCGGTGGGCGGATATTTCAGGGAAGCCTACAGTATTTTGGCAAACCATAGGGAGGAACTGCCTAATGCTAAGAGCTGTTCATCTGTGGAACTGACTGCCTCAGGAGGTCATGGGCTCTCCTTCACTGGAGGTATTTAAGCAGAGGCCAGATGGCTATTGACAGGTGGGGTGGATGGGGGGTGCTGTAGTGGCACCCTGCGTCTGCAGATCCTGCATTCAGCAGCGGGCTGTGTTGGATGACCTCTGGGGTTCCTATTGTTATACAGTGGTACCTCGGGTTAAGAACTGAATTCGTTCTGGAGGTCTGTTCTTAACCTGAAACGGTTCTTAACCTGAGATACCACTTTAGCTAATGGGGCCTCCCACTGCTGCCGTGCCGCTGCTGCATGATTTCTGTTCTCATCCTGAAGCAAAGTTCTTAACCCGAAGTACTACTTCTGGGTTAGCGGAGTCTGTAACCTGAAGCGTCTGTAACCCGAGGTACCACTGTATATTTTTCATATATAACAATAAGACGCAAAAGTTACAACACAAAGAAATTATATTTGTTTTGCCTGGTATACAGTGCGCTACCTTTTGTGTCGTTCTTCTTATTGACAGTGTCAATAAGAATGTGAAGAGGAGGCACTGTTCCACCTCAGCTGATCAAGGAGAGTTCTTGTGAAGCAGGGGTTGAGGTCCCAGTTTGACCAGCACTTGGCCCAGGGCCTGCTCCCGGTGTGATTCAGAGCAGGGCCCATTCCTGCCCCCTATGACAGCCGGGTAAGGTTGATTTCATTCCCCTTCTTGTTCCCGATGTAGATCTTCACTACCCCCTTGTTCCTGACATTCACTTCCTGCCTTGGTCCTGATGTTGATCTTAATCCCACTTCAACCCCCACCAGCCTTGTTCCTGATTTAGATCTCCACTCCTCACTTCTCTGGAAGGGAATAAAAAGCATTTTCTGCTTCACCTGAGGTGCCCAAATGCCTTGGGCCCAGCCCTATCTTGAAGGAATCCATACCTCTGTCCTATGATATCACCTTCTATATTTGTCTGTCCCATTCCTCTTTCCATTAAGAGGTGTTGCCACATTAAAACTTTCCATTCTTGAAATGTTCCTCTCTTCTTCACTTCTCCGACTTTTTGCTGTTACCTGTCTAGCTGCAACTAATACCATTTATGACATCTCTTTACAGGGAACATCTGAATTTTGGTAATCAAATATGGTTCACAATGTCAATGTCAGGAAAGGATCTATTTGGTGGATTAAGCTTAATGTTAACTTCTAGAGCCAATGTGGTGCAGTGGTTAGAGTGCTGGACTCGTAAGGCCAAGGTCTAAATCCCCACTCAGCCATGGAGCTCATTAGGTGAACTTGAGCCAGTCACTTACTGGGCCCATCCATAGCTTGGCTTAATCTGGATTGTGAACTGCTTGTGCTTCCTTTTAATTCCCCCTGGTCCACATGACATTCTCCTCCAACTGGCCCACACTTTCTGATCCCTAACGTGGCCTCTGCTATCGACACAGCTCTCCTGTTCGGATTTTCAAAGCATGAGGAATCTCTCAATTTAAGGAGGAGAAAGTGGGGGAGAGCAAAGTTGGAGAATGAGGGAGAATTAAAGGGGTTCACAATCCACATTAAGCTGAGGTATGGACGGGACTTCTCTCTGCCTAACCTACCTCACAGGGTTGTTGTGAGGATAAAACAGAGAGGTGAAGTAGGTGTGCCATCTAGAGCTCATTGGAGAAAAGGTGGAATGGAAATACAATGATGCTGATGGCGGTGCCGATGGTGATTATGCTGTCCCTCAGGCAGCCTCTTTCCTTTTGCAACCAGCTGAAAACAACAGACAGAAACTCAGCTTAGGAAATATTTGTGCGTGGGGGAACTTCACCTGTTACACTGCAGCCTGGCAATATAAATGTGCAGGTGTCCTATGTTTATAGAAGGAAGTGGGGAAGGTAGCCATCTCCTTTCTGCCGGGTTTGCTTTGTACAGCGTCTTTTGTGCATCAGTATCCATTGCACTGCTCAAAACCCTTAAACCCCAAAGGCCTGACAAGCCTAGAATAAATACACACACATGCAGAGACACAATTCGTGACTTGTTCAGAGCTGGGTGGCGGCGGTGGTGGATGGGCTGAGGGGGAAGGGGGGGGGACGGTTAGCAAAATTTCCTGTTGGCCTCCCTTTCTGAAAAAAGAAGGTGTGCTGTTTGTTCAAGGCTATCCAAACATTTGCAAAAGTTCTGGCAGCCAGGGAATGCGCAAGGCGGTGTGTCCTAGGCGTGGGAAAGTGGTGCTCTCCTCAACCTTTTGCAAGCCTCGTCTCTCTCCCCCCCCCGCCCCCTCCCTCAGGCAAGCAAGCGGTTCAATTAAAAAAAAAAAAGAACCCAGTGCCAAGAGATTTATTGAGCTGATAATGACAGCTTCAGTCAGCAGTAAGCAGACTTAGGAGAGAGAGAGGCAAGGAGGAGGAGGGAAGGAGAGGGGGAAGAGGAGAGAGACTCCAGATCACAGGAGAAAGAAAGAGATGAAGTGTACACATGAGCCAGGAAGGATCTGGTGTCAGAGGAAGGTGAGAGAATGGAGAAGCAAACCTGCTGTTGTTAGCTGGTTTCGGTGGTTAATCTCTAGGATGAAAGCTGTCAGGGAGAAGGGTAGAGTTGCCACTGTTCTGGCCATGGCCTCCTGGTACTTTGAAAGCCAGACTTTCCCAGACTGCTGACACACACGGTTGTGTCCCCCCACCCACCCACCCCACCCTCTTTGACTGAGAGGCATAGTTCAATCTTACACCAGCATTAAAAAAGCAAAAGCCAAGAGCTTGCTTATAGAATGGTTCCCTTCCTTGTGTATCTAAATCATGGATTGGGGGGGGGGGGAAGGAGGCTAGTTCTAGAACATTTCCTCATGCAGAAGCACAACAGGCACCCTCTTCTGCATTTTGTTGTTGTTTAGTCGTTTAGTCGTGTCCGACTCTTCGTGACCCCATGGACCAGAGCACGCCAGGCACTCCTGTCTTCCACTGCCTCCCGCAGTTTGGTCAGACTCATGTTTGTAGCTTCGAGAACATTAGAAATGACCAAGTGATGATGTGATGATGTGATTCAGCCTTTGTCAAGTTTTCGTGCCCTCCAGATGTTTTGGGCTTCAGCTCGTGGCCAGCCCAGCTAACCCAATTTTGTGGCAGGCTTTTCTTCCTGCACTCGCACCCCCCACAACACCGCCAAAGTGGAAGCTGATTGGAGGAGGCCAGCCCAGAGCAGTGATTCATGCAGAAACACAGTGAGAGCACTCTCTTTCTCCATTGGGAGCAAGGCAATGATGCAATCCCACCCAGTTTCACAGGCACAGCAGAATAACCCTTCCTGCTCTTTCTTATTTCTTATTTAAGTCATTTATTGTTCATGGTGATCCAGAAATTCTCCAGGACTCATGATGCACAAATGTGTCCTGGAATACAGTAAATCACATTAGGCGAAGGGCTTCAGCTCAGTGGTAGAGTGTCTACTTTGCATGCAGAAGGTCTTGAGTTCAAACTCAGACATCTCCAGGTAAGGCTAGGAAATATTCTCTGTCTGAAATCCTGGAGAGCTACTGCCAGTCAGTGAAGACAATACTAAGCTAGATGGACCAATTGATTCTAGTTTTGACCCCCAACCTCCTCTCTGCTGAGTTCTATAAGTGGCAACTCTAAGAGTAAGAAGGAGGAAGTTGACAGGCTGTGCCACTCCCTGTACTGGATGTAAGAAATAAGGCAGGCTGGCAGGTTACTGACTGATGTCAGACTGTGGGACAGTGGCTCATTCATCCTAATAGACCAAACTCCATTGCAATCTGTCTGTCTTATAAAGTGCCACAAAACTCAATAGAAACTGCAGGAGGGGAAAGTTATGGTGCAATTTCACTTCTGTTCCTCTTTTTTATTATTTTATTTTTATTAAATTTCCATACCGACCTTCATCCGAAGATCACAGGGTGGTTTACAATATAAAAACAGAAAAATTCTTACAGTTATAACAAACAAAAACAATACCCTTCCCCAGTTTAAAAGGCCATCAATTGTCCTGGGAGAAGAGGAATGTTTTTGCCTTTAGCCCATAACAACTTTTCTAGCGAGTAGAATCAGGGGTCAGCAACCTTTTTCTGTTGTGGGCCAGTCCACTGTCCCTCAGACCAACCTTTTTCTGGTGGGCCAGACTATATTGGGGGGGAGGGGATAAATGAATTCCTATGCCCCACAAATAACCCAGAGATGCATTTTAAATAAAAGCACACATTCTGCTCATGTAAAAACACCAGGCAGGCCCCACAAATAACCCAGAGATGCATTTTAAATAAAAGGACACATTCTACTCATGTAAAAACATGCTGATTCCCGGACCGTCCGCGGGCCAGATAGAGAAAGCGATTGGGCCGCATCCGCCCCTTGGGCCTTAGGTTGCCTACCCCTGGAGTAGATCATTGCTATGATTTGAGCAGCAGATCCATTATGTCATTAAATGTTAAACATTCTCAGAAATTTACTTAGAAACAAAACAAAAAAGACAATTGTTTCAGTCTGAGAAAGCTTACTTCAGAAGCCAAATGATCAAGAGGGTGGAGCTGCTTCCCTATGGGAAAAGGTTCCAGCATTTGGGACTTTTTACTTTAGAAAAAAAACAAGAAAGAGGTAACAAGCTGAAAGTTAAAAAATTATGCATGGCATGGAGAAAGTGGATAGTGAAAAGTTTTTCTGCCTTTCTCGTAATACTAGAACTCATGGACATCCAGTGAAGCTGAGTGCTAGAAGATTCAGGACAGATAAAATAAGAGCTTATTCATGCAGCACATAGTTAAATAATGGAAGCTGCTCCCCCAAGAGGGGATGATGGCCACCAACTTGGGTGGCTTTAAAAGAAGACCGGGCAAACTAATGGAAGACAAGGCTATCAATGGTTCCTGTCCCTGGTGGCGACACTCTGCCTCCACGACCGGATTCTGAATACCAGTTGCTGGAGACTACAGGAGGGGAATGGGCTCTTGTGCTCTGGTCCAGCTTGCAGGTTTCTCACAGGCACCTGGTTCTCCACTGTAGAACAGGATGCTGGACTAGATGGGCCATTGGTCTGATCCAGCAGGATCTTCTTATGTTCAGTGAAGGCTAAGCAAAAGAAATGAAGGAATGTGCTCAAAGTTGAAGAAGAGCCTTTGGCAATAAGGGATATAGGGGCTCTTCAGGGGCTTGTAAAACTCCAAATCTCACAATTTCATGTTCTGTCTTAGAAGGCCTTTCTCCCCCCTCCCCTTCTAGGTATCCAGATCTGAAGGACTCGAGTATTGCTCTAGATTGCTCCAAAGTTTAGTTTGTGTGCCGTCCCATAGCAGGCTTCTCCCTCCACTGTTGGAGGTAGTATTCCTCTGAATACCAGTTGCTAGGAATCACAGATGGGCTGTTAGCATATTGGGACATCTGACTAACCACTGTGCAAACAGGATGCTGGACTAGATGGGCCTGTTATCTCTTCTGATGTTCTTTTGATAGGGACGAAAAAAGAAGGTGATCACCAAGTCCATGCTTTTGTGCCAGTGAGATTTGCAGCTTCATGTGGTTTGCTGCCATTGCAGTCAGGATCCAGGGTTAGATGGACCTTGATCTGGCACAGCCAGGGGGTTCTTTCATTTTTTTTTCACTTTTAGAGAGTTTAGCCAAAAGTTCATTAATGATAACTGGGTCACCAAGACCCTGGAAAGCCCAGTTAAAGACAGCTGTGTTTGCTTAAAAAAATAGTACATTGCATTCTGACCAAGGCCATATCTTTCCACTGAACACGACATCCCTAACTTTCTACATGCAATCCTTACGGTTTACTTGCCTTTTGTAAGTCAAAATAGGTGAGATTCACAAGTTGCTCTACTGACATGCTTTCTGCTATAGTTACTGCATGATGCAGAGAAAGCACTCCACCCACACTCTGGAATTCTGTTATCATTTCTTCCAGGGCTCAGTTCTAATGCTTTGAATAGCTGAAAAATAATGTGCTGAATATAGACTGAATACAGATACCAAGGCTGGACCTCAGTGGGAACAAGGTCCCCGCCCCAACTGCTTCTGAGGGCACACTTTCCTTCCTCAATTGCAAACACAACTCAGCTTTCCCCCTGCGCTACACCTGCTGGTAAAAGTACAGTGGAACCTCAGTTTTCGAACATAATCTGTTCTGAAAGACTGTTCGGCTACCAAGATGCTCGAAAACCGAGGTTCCACTGTAAAGACTTTCAGATTAAACACAGTTGTTCACACTGCACCCAAACAAGATTAGTACCGAAACAAAATTATGACTACTGTCCAGCTATGGAAAATAGATCAAAGGACAAAGCTTTCATTCCCCCAAATTCACTTCCAAGTCAGAAAGGTTAAATTTGCAGGTGAGCGGTGCGGACAGTGGAGGAGAAAGTGCGCAGAACCAGGGTGGAAGAGCCACTCCTACCAATACCATGTAATAATAACCATGAAGCTAGTTCACACAGACATCTGCAGAGAGAGAAGAATGCAATTTAAAAAGAAAGAAAAGGGTCATCCTAAAAGTAGTATGAAAAATTACGGGATAAAGGTGGTGGCATTAGTGCAGCCTGGGACATGTGTCATGTGCCTCCCAAGTAGGTTTTGAACCTGAATAACTTCAGGGATGGGCAAATCTGTCCATTCCGGCTCTTCTCTGTTTCTCGTTTTTCCAGTCTTAATTCCATTCTCCCTACTTCCACATCAGTTTGCATTTTAAGAAAAAAAAGAAGCCATCATGAAAATTCATCAGTGTTTTAGTGCAAATTTATTTTAATATGCACATTTTTGTATAAGCAGCTTCCTCTAATCGACACTCTTTATTTGCAAAGCAGTCTTCCCTGTTATAATGCATTTTTGTATGTTATTTTCACTAACACGTGCAGTTTATGTGCACACTTCACGCTAGCTTGTGCATTTCTGTACGCATTGCTTGACTGGAAAATTGCATTGTAGAATCCAGATAATTTTGTGTGATTCCAGTGTGAATTTTGAAGGAGGGCTGTGTTTTGGTTTGCATCCTGCTTTGGAATGGGCAAATCTAGGCTGGTCTGCCTTTAACTGGCAGCTGATTCAGATCATCCCCCTGCTCACTAGAAGGCAAGAAGCACTGGGGGTGGGTGGGCAACGTACCAGAGACCACATGCTAGTGGTCCAAATTATTGACAGACTATGGGTTATAGCCTGATTAATTCTACTCAGAGTAAAAGGTAAAGGGACCCCTGACCATTAGGTCCAGTTGCGGACGACTCTGGGGTTGCGGTGCTCATCTCGCTTTATTGGCCAAGGGAGCCGGCGTACAGCTTCTGGCGAACCAGAGCAGCACACGGAAATGCTGTTTACCTTCCCGCCGGAGCGGTACCTATTTATCTACTTGCACTTTGATGTACTTTCGAACTGCTAGATTGGCAGGAGCAGGGACCAGCAACAGGAGCTCACCCCGACACAGGGATTCGAACCACCGACCTTCTGATCGGCAAGCCCTAGGCTCTGTGGTTTAACACAGAGTAGACCCACTGAAATTGATGACCCTTAGTCATGTTCATTGAGTTTACTCTGAATAGAACTAGCACTGGATATAACCCTTTATCTTTGCTCTTGGTGCTATTACCCAGCTTCTAAAGGAACAGGATCATTTAGCAGCATTCTGACTGGAGCGTTTGCTGTACAGATAAGGTCTGGTGATATTCAGAATGCTTCTAGATGCCCCTCAGGAATGGCTTTATAGCCCCATATGGTTTCAAAACTAATATATGGTTTATTGGCTCCTGCCCTATGGGGCCATAAGCACACCATACATTTAAAGCACATAGCTGCCCTCTCAAAGAATTTGGGTAGCTGTAGCTTATCCCTCACAGTGCTATAATTTCCAACACCCTTAGCAAACTCCCAGGATCCTTTGAGGGAAGCTTGTGCATGTAAATGTGCTTTAGATGTATGATGAAGATGTTACCAAAGCACCAATTGGATTTCCAGAGTTGGTTTCAGATTTTTTTGCGGGGGGCCTTGGAAACAATGCCATCAGGGGGATCACTTCCATTCCATTCCATTTTATTCACACTGTCTATTAAGTTGCCACTCCCACAGCTATAATTCTCAGCATCCTTAACAAGCGACAATTCCTATGACTCTTTGAGTGAAGACATGTGCTTTAAATCTGCTTTAAGTTTATGGTGCAAATGTGATGAAGAGTTGGTACTGGTACTCCCTCACCTCCCCTTTCAGTATCTGTTCACAAATATATAGGCTGAGTAGAGGAGAGCAGGTAAGCCTCCATTAGGACTGGTGGGACAGAAAGCAGGGAGCTCAAACAGTAGACAGAGCCAGAGCCAATGACAAGCAGAGCCAACTAGTACTAGTTTTGTCCCCACCCTCTTCCTCCCTGCGAAATTCTACAGGGAGCAACACTGAGATGGAGGAGGAGGAAGCTGGTAGCCAGGCCCACCTCCTGGGCTAGATGTAAGAAAGAAGGCAGGCAGGTGCAGGTTGGCTGAGTTTGGCGGGACACTGCC